ACATCTGTGGAATTCAGCTGGCTGTGGAACTTAGTAGGTTTTGGTCCTTCCCACCATCTGGGCTGCCCGAGCTCTCGGCACATCTTTTGTAGCAGTGAAGGAGTCAGAGAGTGGTTGAGGCTGGAAGGGCCTTCTGAAGATCATCTAGTCCAAAGAGTTCCAAGGGAGGATTTCAGACTGCAGGTAGTGATTGTCTCTTGGGCAGGAGCCTGTTCCCAGCAGCCCTTTCCACAATTCCCATGTTTTCTCTCCAGGTGGAGAGCGATTACTGCCTCTTACTGGCCCTGCCCTGCGGCCGGGACCAGGAGGATGTGGTGAACCAGACAGAGTCTCTGAAGGCTGCCTTCATCAGCTACCTGCAGGCCAAGCAAGCTGCAGGCATCATCAACGTCCCCAACCCTGGCTCCAATCAGGTATGGGCAGAGAAAAACCCCTGGGAACATCTAGATAAACCAAATCCATAGGTAGGGAAACCTTCCACCCAGCTGTTTGCTTGGAGGGACAGTTGAGGTGCCTGGTTTTGGGGTGAAACCCCCACATTTGCTGCCTGCTGACATCCCCACCCAAAATGTCATCAATAAAATTACTGAATATGAAACTACAGCAAAAGCATAGCCCCAAATATCATCATTTCATTCACAACTCGATGTCTTCAGGCTGAGAGGGTTGGGGTGTTCAGCCTGGAGAAGAGAAGGCTCCAGGGAGACCTTAGAGCACCTTCCAGTGCCTGAAGGGGTTCCAGGAAAGCTGGGGAGGGACTTGGGACAAGGGCAGGGAGGGATGGGATGAGAGGGAATGGATTGAAACTGGAAGAGGGGACATTTAAGTTGGACGTGAGGTGGGAATTCTTTAGTGTGAGGGTGGTGAGACACCTGGAGCAACCTGGTCTGGTGGGAGGACCCCATGCAGGGGTCTTGGATCTAGGTGATCCTTAAGGTCCCTTCCAACCCAAACCCTTTCAAGATTCCATGATATGATTCTATGAGAACAAACCAGTCCCATTTTCCAGTTCTTTTTCTGTGTTGGGTGTTGATTCCTCCCTTCTTCCTCCTACCAATTTCTCCAGAACACCTGGAGCTTTTTTGCTCTTGGCCACATCGAGACAAAACATTTGGGTTTGTTCATGGTTTTACTCTGTTTATTGCAGCCACGTTGCTGATCAAGTTAAATTTAATCTGTTTCCTGGGGTAGAAACAGCACTGAATGAGCAGTCAGTGCTTGGAGCAAAAATGATAATTAAAGGGATTTTTTCTGCCTTTCCCAATCAAACCAGCAGCTTTTCTGTCCCTGGTGTGGAAAATCTCCCCACCTTGGCAACCACACCCTACTTTCATAGAAATAAGATGCTTGATAAGCCTTGAATCACCCCAAAAAAACACCCAAATTTCACAACATTTTTGCCCACCCCGGCTTCTCCCTCCTCATTTTTTTTGTCCCCTCCCTCATCCCTGTGGTTTTTTTTTTCCTTCCCTCATCCCTGGGGATTTTTTTTTCCCTTCCCTCATCCCTGTTTTTTTTTTCCCCTCTCTCCCAGCCTGCCTACGTTCTGCAGATCTTCCCACCCTGTGAATTTTCAGAGAGCCACCTCTCCCGTCTCGCCCCGGACCTCCTGGCCAGCATCTCCAACATCTCCCCTCACCTGATGATCGTCATCGCCTCGGTATGAGCTGTTTACCAGTTCCTGCCTTTGATTCTTTTTCAGTTCTATTTTTTTTTTTCCTCCAAGGCCCTGCAGCAAAAAAAAATAAAACACAAAAAAAGAGGAAAAAAAGAAAAAGCCCAGAAAAAAACCACAAGAGAAAAGAAAAAGAGAGAATGAAAGTGATGAAATAAGAAAATGCTGCCAGACCCACCAGCCTCCTGCCCTCGATCAAACTGTTGCTGGGTAGTGGTTCTGCTACCTTGGATGTTTACATGTTGCTTTAGCTTCTGGACAACTGATGCACTCAGCAGAGGGGCTGGTGGGGGGGTTTCCTGTGCCTGCTTTTTGGGGACAAAAAAAAAAAAAAAAAGAAGAGAAAAAAGGAGGGCTTATTTTTTTTAACAAAACGAAAACAAGAAAAAAAGGAAAAAAAAAAACCACAACAAAAACCGACGCAAAAAAAAAGCCAAAAAAAAAAGAAGAATTAAAAATAAAAACTACACAAAAAAAGAAAAAAAAAAAAAAAAGAAGAACCTGAACTGCCTTTGCACTAAATTAGTGACTTGGACCTTTGCACAGTTGGGGACACGCTGTGACGTTCTGGATGTCTTGACACACACGGACACACACGGTGGACTGAAATGCAGGACCTGGGGCCTGACATCTGTGGGTCAAGGATCATTTCACACACCTTTTTATTTTATTGGTTGCTTTTCTGTTTGTTTTTTTTTGTTTGTTTTTGGTTCCTTTTCCTTCGGGGGTTGTTGTTATTTTTTTTTTTCGGTGTCAAGTCTGGTTTTTTTCTGGATGTGAAACCTCCCTCTCCTCCACCTGCCCCTGCTGCAGCCGTCTTCTCTTCATCTGGGATGTACAGTTTACACTGAAAACCTACAACAGAAAAATAACAAACAAAAAAGGGAGAGAGTTATTTTCCTTCCTGGTGGGATATGCAGAACTCAGTGGGTGTG